ATCTGTTGTGTTTATTTCAATCTGTTGTTTTTATTTTTTGCATGAATGTTAAAACGGGCTTTGAGTTTTATTATGCCCTTGAAGGGTGACATTAAAATCGAACCGTCCATCTGTCTGTCTGTCACTCAGTCTGTCAGTCCTTCCATCCCGCTTTATACATTTAGACAGTGGTGGTCGTGTCCGCTCTGAAACTCCAGTATGTATGAAAGGATTTTAATTTTTCTTTCATAAATGAAATTACCATAGATGTATGTATGGTGTGTCACGAACAAGACTCGGGTTCCTATGACTAAGGTCAAGGTCACTGTGGGGGTTCAAACTTTGTCACTTTTTATTTTCTATAAATATAGAAGGTGGTGGTCGTGTCCACTCTGAAACTTCAGTATGCATGGAAGGATTGTAATTTTTCTTTCACATACGAAATAACCATAGATGTACGGTGTGTCGGGAACAAGACTCGGGGGTTTCTACCACTAAGGTTAAGGTCACTGTTGGGGTTCAAATTTTTGTCATTTTTGTGTCGCCTTGAAAAGGTGACATATAGGGGTTACTTTTGTCGGCGGCGGCGGCGTCTGTGTCGGCGTCGGCGTCCCCTAAAGCTTGTCCGGAGCATAACTCAGTCACTATAAGTCTGATTGACTTCAAACTTGGTATGCATGCTTCTGTCAATAACCCGAAGTGCAGTGCACAAGGACCGGTACTCTGCAGTTCTTATTTTTTTGAGTTATTGCCCTTTGTTAATTTTCATACTTTAATTTTGTCCGGGCCATTTCTCTTCAACTAAAAAAGCTATGGACTTGAAACTTCATAGGATGATAGATATCATTATTAAGAAGTGCAGTGCACAAGAACCAGTACTCTGCACTTCCTAATTTTTGAGTTATTGCCCTTAGTTAATTTTCATACTTTATTTTTGTCCGGGCCATTTCTCCTAATGTATAAAAGCCATGGACTTGAAACTTCATAGGATGATAGATCTCATTAAGAAGAAGTGCAGTGCACAAGAACTGGTACTCTGCATTTCTTATTTTTTGAGTTATTGCCCATTGTTTATTTTCATACTTTAATTTTATCCGGGCCATTTCTCCTTAAGTATAAAATCTATGGACTTGAAACTTCATAGGATGATAGATCTCATTATTAAGAAGTGCAGTGCACAAGAATCAGTACTCTGCATTTCTTAATTTTTGAGTTATGGCCCTTTGTTAATTTTCATACTTTATTTTTGTCCTGGTCATTTCTCCTCAAGTATAAAAGCTATGGACTTGAAACATCATAGAATGATAGATCTCATTAAAAAGAAGTGCAGTGCATAAGAACTGATACCCTGCACTTATTATTTTTTTAGTTATTGCCCTTTGTTATTTTTCATATTTCATTTTTGTCCTGGCCATTTCCCCTAAACTACATTGTTCACAAGGCGACACATCCGACTCGCGGAGTTCTAGTTTATGTTATATAAATATAGAAGGTGGTGGTCATGTTGGCTCTGAAACTTCAGTATGCATGGAAGGATTTTTTAATTTTTCTTTCACATATGAAATAACCATAGATGTATGGTGTGTCACGAACAAGACTAGTTCCAACGATTAAAGTCAAGGTCACTGTGGGGGTTCAAACTTTGTCATTTTTATATGCCCGAAAGAATTTCGGACATATTATGTTATATCCCCTGGCGTCCGTCCGTCTGTTCGTTAGCAATTTGGTTTCCGGAGCATAACTTAAGTTCCATTTGGCCCACAGTATTCAAACTTCATAGGATGATTGCCCATATTGGGTAGAAGACCCCTATTGATTTTGGGGTCACAAGGTCAAAGGTCAAGGTCACTATAACCGTAAAACTGAAAATGGTTTCCGGAGCATACTTAAGTTCCATTTGGCCCACAGTTTTCAAACTTCATAGGATGATTGCCCATATTGGGTAGAAGACCCCTATTGATTTTGGGGTCAAAGGTCAAGGTCACTATTACCATAAAACTGAAAATGGTTTCCTGAGCATAACTTAAGTTCCATTTGGCCCACAGTTTTCAAATTTCATAGGATGATTGCCCATATTGGGTAGAAGACCTTTATTGATTTTGGGGTCACAAGGTCAAGGTCATTATTAGCTAAATACTGAAAATGGTTTCTGGAGCATAACACAAGTTCCATTTGGCCCACTGTATTCAAACTTCATAGGATGATTATCCATATTGGGTAGAAGACCCCTATTGATTTTGGGGTCACAAAGTCAAAGGTCAAGGTCACTATTAGCTTAATACTGAAAATGGTTTCCTGAGCATAACTTAAGTTCCATTTGGCCAACAGTTTTCAAACTTTATAGGATGATTGTCCATATTGGTATTGATTTTGGGGTCACAAAGTTAATGGTCAAGGTCACTATAACCCTAAAACTGAAAATGGTTTCTTGAGCATAACTTAAGTTCCATTTGGTCCACAGTTTTCAAACTTCATAGGATGATTGTCCATATTGGATAGAAGACCCCTATTGATTTTGGGGTCACAAGGTCAAAGATCAAGGTATTTCACCTTTTAACTGGAAACAGTTTTTGCTCAATAATTCAAGCATTAATCAACCTACAGCTAAAGTACTTTCGGGCATATAATGCCCTGCCTATCTAATCCAGTTACCTCTCTGGCGTGGGTTCGATCCCCGGGAGATGCTTTGGTAGTTTAGCGCGGTGGAAGGTAGTTTAGTACTGGTGTAACTCTCCAGGAACGATGGTTAGGAAACTACCCGCCAATATGACTGAAATACTGTTGGAAAAAGGCGTAAAATGAAACAAACAAACAATCTATAGGGTTAAATTTGTCCTTCACCTGAATTGATAAAACAGTAAATCAAATCTATCAAAACCTTTCCAGTGTTAATAAAATTATCCTAAAATATATTCGCATTCAAACATATGGTGCTTAGCAAAAGTTGAGTATATATGTGTATTTTTTCTAGGTTATGTCCTATGTAACAAGCCACTGCACTTGAGTAATTAATCAGTTATTTCATAAACACTTGAGATACATTTCTCAAGGTCAGTATCAAAATCTTTAATATTTCCTGTCATCATTTTTCTTTAATTATTAAAGCTGAATGCCTCTAGATGCAACAAAATATTTCAAGTTAGTCAAAGTTAAGAAAAATGCATTTTAAACAGTACTTGCAAATGTGTCCTAAAAAAAAGATCAAAATTATGCAAAGAAAAATAGCCCTGAATACTGCATGTGTCATACAGTAGATATCTGGTGATATCTAATTTAAGTAATTAATCACACATAAATTAGGTAAATTATTACTTTTCATAAAATGTGTAAATTACTTTCTTTATTCACTTCACAATATTTTACTTTTGAATACATTTTCAAAATTTTCATGAAAATTAGCATGAATCTCCAGGCATGCTACTTAATAAGACAAAATGAAAGATATTTTTACTTTCTTACTACATGTAATATACTGAACCAAAAAAGAAACTTTTGCAAAGTATGTGCCAGTTGTTCAAGGGTACCACTTAGATGTACACACTTATATACATGTAGTAGCTTGTAAAACTCGTTTTGTTTGCAAAATCAGTCAGCTAATCCCCGTATAAAAGCCTGATATGTTTATTCAACGTAAAAATCGAGTATCAAAAGGATTGAAAATCTGTACTAACATATCTACATTAAAACTTGGAGAAAGTTTCTTTTTTGTTTTAGTATATATTTTATTGAAAAAAAAATTATTGGCTCTTGTTTAAAGATTGGAAAGTTTATTTTTCATCAAGTTCAAATGTTTTCTATAATTCATTGTTTTGAATTAATGAAATTTTGTACAAATGCGTGTTGAACTAACAGCAATAACTATTTATCATATGCAATTATAGTTCTTCAATTTTAGTAACTTTCAAGCATTTGTCAGATAAAATCTTTATAATGTTTATTTTACAGAACACATATTAACCTTGAATCTGCAGTCCACCACCAGTATAGATCCAAGTCAGCCTGCAGTCACGTGGCATGTTAATAATTGTGTAAAAACCCCTCTCCTGCTTTTGTAATTGTATATATGAGTGTTCATACATTTCAATTTCAAATTATACACATTTAGTCTGTAGCATGAGTATTGTTAACCTCAATAGCACTGATTTAGTTTCAGTTTATTTCATGATATATTTTAGTTGCATGATATATTTTATTTTTAGCCCCCCCCCCCCCCCCAGCAAGCATATGCTTTAGATAATAGTAGAAATATAAACAGTATCAAATGCATGACTGCATGCTTATTTACTTCTAGTTCGCATAAAATGCTTGTTAACACCTTAGAAACTGGGGTGAAGTTGAAAAAGTGAAAATAAGTTTTCTTGGAATTATCCAGAATCACATAAACATTTTCTAGGAATTACATGTGTTGTAATTGGGGTAATTGGGAGAACAGGATATCCTGGTACTGTACTGTAACTATTCTATTTACAGTGCTTTCCATTCAAGGTAGCTTATATTCTACTGATATCACCTTGATATCTCTGTGATGCCTGTGGATATCTTTGATATCATCTTTGTAATTTCATTATACTAAATCCATGATATTTCTTAGATATCTTTATGATATCTTATTGATATTTGATATCTCCCTGTTGAATGGAATATATCTGATATCTTCTTGATATCTTAAATTTTGTTTTAGATATCTTGGTTAGTTGATAAATTGGCGAAATAAAATGAAATTAATATAATATCCAATTTTATCATATAATGCTTAGAAAATGTAGCTGCATATGCATGTAATGAAAATTAAATCTCACCCTTATTTTATCATTATAGAAACAGTAAATATCTAACATTACAGGATATTTCGAATAATTTTACTAGGTAGAATTACATTACCACAAAACTGAAAATGTGATGGCCATGTTTAACAGATATTAAGTTGTCAGTAAACTTCATAAACAAGTTTTTTTATACCAGGGAACATTTTTAGAGTTAAGTGGCTCTTATTACGTTCTTATCCTTGTCTTTTTAGTAAGTCACTCCAGTCTTAGATTGTTTATATCCTGTTATAAAGTGATGTATCTGAGAAAACAAGCCACTTAGAGAACAAAGTGCATTCTGGACTGTTTATTTTTGTTTCCACACTCTGTTATATTTTAAACAGGCTGAGGTCAGATTAAACAATCAGTATAATTGAGAGTAAACTGGCACAGTTATTTAAAGCTGATTTCAGAAAATTTCAGACAATTCATTGAAAAGTTTGCAATTCAACATGAAGTGTTTAATTTTTGCCGGGATTCTTCTTGGAATCTATCATACGTGTAAGTTATTTAATATATAGTTTTCTCAAAAGTTATATTTATTACACATTCCAATAATTGTATTGTGATTAAAATGTGTGTAGCAAGACAAAGGTACAATAAATCAAAATATTTAAAATTACTCTTATATTGACAGGGTTATTATCTGTATATGATGACAAGACAGTAGATCTATACTAACTTTTTCTTCTTTGGTTGGGTCACACCAACACAGTTAGTTATATATATGGCTACTTTCCAGCTTTACTAGTGGAGGAGACTCTCGGGTGCTACTCTCAAAAATTAACATAGTCTGCTGTAGGGTATATTTTGTGTCTGATCTAGAACTTCTTCATAGTTCAAGGGGTTTTGAAATAACTTGGCACACATAAATAGTCACAATAATAAGTCGATATGTCATGTACAACACCTGCACCCCTATCTCCAAGGTCAAGGTCACACTTAGAGGTCAAAGGTTAACAGAGTCTGTTATATGGTATATTTTGTGTCCTGTCCATAACTTCTTCATAGATCAAGGGATTTTGTCCCTATTTCCAAGGTCAATGTCACATTTAGAGGTCAAAGATTTACATTGTCTGTTTTAGGGTATATTTTGTGTCCAGTCCATAACTTTTTCATTGATCAACAGATTTTAAAAATACTTTGCACAAATTATCACAATAATAAGACGATATGTCAGGCGCAAAACATGGCCGGGTCCCTTTATACTTCAAAGGTCACACTTAGAGGTCAAAGATTAACATAGTCTGTTATAGGGTATATTTTAGGTTATAAATGTAGCTGTCACAATGTTTCATAAACTTATAAAGTATAATGGATCTTTGCAATTTATAAGAAATTGTACTTTAATGCTGTGAACCTTTCCCTACTTTTCTATAAGATATCATTCTTAGTTTTTAGCTCACCTGAGCACAGATTCAGAGGATAGCATGTTGGTTTGTCATCTGTGGTTATCAACATTTTCTTTAAACAATACCTCGGTCTGTCACAAGATGAAGCAATGAATGGTACCAAACTTCACAGGTGTCTCTCTACAATAGATTTATTATTGGTTCCATTTTTTTTTTCATTTTTCTTTTATTCACAAAAGCTTAATATATACCTAAAACTTAAATCTTTGCCTCAGAAACTGTTTTGCAGCATGGTGGTAATATTTATTAATTTACAATCTTTAGTATATATTCTTCAAAAATGTGTTTTAAAAAAAAGAAAACTTCTTGCATTAAATGTTTAAAAGAAATTTACATTTGGTCTTATACTTCTTGCGTGAACCTATTTCACTGAAGGAACAAAATTACTGTCTTTCGACCAGAAAAAGTTATTATACACATTTTCGAGTATACTTTTATAATACAAAAGATTTTTTAAGAAATGTCTTCTCAAGCACTTTTTGGAATGTCACATTATTACCTTTTGATGAAATATGACTGTTCTAGAAAGAAAATTTCATTGACTTAAATTAAAATGATGTAAGCCATAATTTGTTTGGCTATATCACTATGTTTTCTTTTGTTTTGTTTTTTAAAACAACATAAATTAGATCAAATAAAACCCTTGTCATTTTGAGGGAAATATAGTTTGTTCTACCAAATGTGCCATTGTGTTGAAATTCGAGTAATTTTTCGATTAAAGAATCCAGTTTTGAGCCCCTAAATCCAGTTGAAAATCCAGTTTTTGCCCATTTTAGCTATCACATGTATGCTACATAAGTTATATAGATAATGCCCCCATGGTCAAAAATTGACCTTGTCTTAAGGGTGACTAAGTTTACAAAGACTTGTTACATAAAAGGTCTTTAAATTTCATGTTTGATTGGTCTCAGGTGATTAATCTAGAGCCATCTTGTTAATTCCAGTCACATTATAGGGGATTATGATGTAATATTGATGAATTGATATTTTCAAATATCATTATTGAATGCATGTAATATAATATGTATATAAAGGAAAAACATAGTGTTCTTTCTGCTAAATGTCCATTAAAGTTACATTTAATAAATTTCATAAAAACAGAAATTGCGACATGTCATTAATAAATTGGGTTTCACATCGACTCCAGATCTTATTTTGGTGTCAAGACAACCAAAATGAGTTTTAATATAAAGCATAAAATCTGCAACCTCATTGTGGCGAAATCGGAAGTACAATTTCTGTTTGCATGTAAAACTCCGCCTTTAGATCATCCGTACATCAATATAAAATCAACAGACATGACAATAAGTAACAGTCCTAATTTAACAGTATATTTCCACATTGTAACGGATGTGTTCATACAAATTCAATCAATTTGATGAGATGAATCCTTTTTTCTGAACGCCAGGCCTAGTGCACCGTGAAGCTAAAACGGTTAAAGTGTATATGCACAAGAAAATCTTTTATTTGCTGTGTCCATATAGCAACTTAAACACTGACGTAGCGCATACACAAGCCGATCATAGTCTTCATTTGCATGTTAAAATTTGTATACAAACTTTAGTGTTACCTCATGGTTTTTCGTTAAAAAATGCAATTTATTAACAATATTAGATGAGATTTTCAACAATACTGTTAATAAGATTAATGAAACTGTAGAATGCTTAATGTTTTTAGGCTGACGGCAAAATATTTTTACATATTTATTTAATGCTACTTTAAAGTTGGCAAAATTTTACAACTGTTGGATATTTACTTCTAGAAAAGTCAAAACAGACTGAGTTGCTGACATCACATTGGATAAGTCACAATTATTTATTTGCAATTTTTACAAAGATGTAGCCACATCAAGGTCACAGTTGAAAGTTCAGGCCTTAAAGGCACATAACGAGGGTTTAGAGCGAAACTAGTCTATCTGCTTCTATTTCTATATAAAGATAGGCTAGTTTCGCTCTAAGCCCTCGATAATGCCTCAGAAACAAAACAAAATTCTGGATCAAGGGCAAACATTAATTTTATAACCTTTGAATAATGGTATGTTGCATGCTTATGACCCCAAAAAAGTAGCGCTGAATGTGAAATAATTTGTCATAATAGTAGCAAAGTATAAACAACGTAGTATTTTGAATGGAAGTCAAAATACTTAATCAATTCTGTACTAATTGGCAAAAATCAGAAGATGGTTCAGGTAATTGGCCAACATATAACTTAATAGAAAATTTAACAGGAAAATAAAAGATTTTGAGAAATAATTAAAGCATTTCTGAGTCAAAGTGGTCCTTTAAAAGTCATTTTGAATCTCTGTTACTATTTAAAGAATGTTCATTAAACTAGGGTCAAATGTATAACTTCTTAACTTGATTAACAATAGAGCAATGTGATACTTAAAAATCACAAAGAAAGTAAAAACCAGCTTTCAGACTGAGTGGTAAATCACAATGTTACATAAGAAATTCTAATATTGTTCCTACCTATTTCTTTTTTGAAGGGAGCAATATTTTACTATAAAATACAAAATAGCTTGTTTTTTATGCTTGAACAAATGATTTAAAGACAGAAGTTAAACACATCTAGAAACTACCTCTTGATCTATGATGTGAAATTGTCACCTAGTAACGGATTAACTCCTTATATAATTTAATAGGAGATAACCTGTAACTGCATTAAGGTGACGAAATGTTAGAGAATCATTCTTAATGGTTTCACAGAATATTTATTTTAAAACAATTGTTACAGGCAGTGGTAATCAGTGTGATCTCACAATACAGAAAGATGGTCTGGAACTACAGGATGGTGAATATGTTATTGGTTTAGGTGGACAAATTAATCAGATATACTGCAAGGCTCTGTGTTCCGGACCAGGTCCCACCCCAGCCCTTAAATGGTACAAGACACCTAGCAAGCGTCCAGTCACAATGTTCCGTGGAAGGTTTGTCACTTATTAACCAGTTTTATACTTGTCAAAACTTGTATCAAGCACTGTCCACAGTCCTTCTGACAGCTCTTGTTTGTTTTACTATCAAGCACTTGTTTTACTATCAAGCACTGTGAATACTAGTAGTTGATTCAGTGCTCTTGTTTTATTTTCAAGCACTGAGAATAGTTGTGTCAGCAGTCCTACTGACAGCTCTTGTTTTATTTTCAAGCACTGAGAATAGTTGAGTCAGCAGTCCTACTGACAGCTCTTGTTTTATTTTCAAGCACTGAGAATAGTTGAGTCAGCAGTACTGACAGCTCTTGTTTTATTTTCAAGCACTGAGAATAGTTGTGTCAGCAGTCCTACTGTCAGCTTTTGTTTTATTTTCAAGCACTGAGAATAGTTGAGTCAGCAGTCCTACTGACAGCTCTTGTTTTATTTTCAAGCACTGATAATAGTTAAGTCCGCAGTCTTACTAACAGCTCTTGTTTATATTACAGAATGCATCAAGTTAGAACAACATTTGATAGGGTTAATATTCTGACAATCAGGAACATGTTATACTCTGACATTGGAATTTACAAGTGCAAAGGATGGCTGAAAGACCAAGGTTGGGTGGAGAAATCATTTGAGCTCACATATGGTAATAAATATAAATGTTTTTAAAATAATTGTCATGATTTCTTAAATATGATGTATTTGCTAGATATATTCGGTGAAGAATTATCTGCCTTAAGGGCTGTGCATGCCTACTGTAGATGTATGAGTAGTGTGTTTACTTCCTAGCTTCAATGATACGGGGATCAGACATTGACATTTTCTAGTATATTAAGTTCACTCAAGATATCAACTTTGAGTTCATTGCAGGTTTTGAGTTCAATGCGTAGGAAAATAATCACAAAGGCCAATAGGCAAACAAAGCATTTGAACGATAAATTGTGCATTATTATACTATAATGCAATACAAATTACGATCTATCTTAATTCTTTATTGCTAATTTAAAAGAGAAAGGATAAAAATATGTTGAACTACATTGAGCGTAGAAGTAATTTTCCTGCAAGCCTTTGATAAAATGACGTCATATCTAATGTAATATGACTTGTAAGCATTCGTTTTTTATGTTGTGCATATATATGTAATAATGCACTTGACTGTCCTATTTGTTTAATAGAGGAATAGTGTGAAGTGTGATAGAATTATAGTTTGAATACTTATTTAGTGTACAACAATCAACTAATAGATACATTGCAATAATTTGTTGAATTTCCATTGAAATTACGTAAATATAAAAACAATACAGTCGTGAAGCATCCTTTGGGGTAATTAAATGAGTGAATTTTAGTTTAAATTTGATTTTTTTACAAATTATGTACTCTGTATATTACATGCATCTTCTTGACTGTTTATTTGTTTACTGTAGGATGTAGGGGTTTAGATCATCAGTGTGATACCAGTACATGTCTTAGACATACATATGTATGCAATGGCCATGTAGACTGTCAGGATGGAACAGATGAACAAAACTGTAGTAAGCAACACTCACTTATGTACCATCTTATTTAATTCTCTGTAACTTTGCATTTTTGTTTTCCATATCTACCTGCTTTTGTCCAGGCTATTTCGCTACTACCGTCTGGCTGTTCAGCTCAAAAGGGAATGCATGGAATTGTAATCCAGGACTTGCTGGTTTTTTTGGGCCCAGAGCAAAGCAAAATTTCTTTGTGACAAATGATCTCTGACATCAAGTCTAATGGACATTTGTCTCTAACACAATGTGGCCATACCAAGTGACTTTTCGGGTACGGAACACGCCGATTTTACACCCGATTCAGGTATGTTTTTTATTCACAACTTATTTATTACTCAACCGATTTTGATCAGATAAGGCGCAGAGTACCCGTAATTATATCTGCTATCCACGGTATATCAAAATTCTGAAAACCCCTGAATGGTTTTTGAGAACATTCGAGTACAGTTTCCTTTTCATAGCCTGGGCCGAGGGGAACGGTACACACTCATTTGTCATAACAAGCAATTTCTAGCAAGTCATATGTTTTTTGACACTATTTCATAGAAAAATACATGTAAAATCTGATATATTTACTATGTCCAATGTATCGAGTCAATGCAGTGATGTTTTAGCATATTTTCATAAAGTGATGTTGAAATGGTACGGAACACACTGTTATTTCATAAAATACGGTACACACACAATTTCTGTCTTTGTAATGATTCTAATATAAAATATATTAAAATTAAATTGCAATTATAATGTGAGTGATTTATTCATAGTTATACATTTTATTAATTTAAACGAGAACCCAGGGACCTGTTTTGCAGTGTATCATAATGCTTACTTTTAATGTTTATATTTTTATTTGTGCACTATATTTCAAGAGATCCCGCTTAACATTTACAACCTCCATGTAATTGTCCTACTTAAAATCACCTATGGTATGTTAAACACTTCGATCTTCACAGAATCAGGTAGTTGCGCTCTATAGAAAGAAAATGTTGTTACATAATGCTGTGTTTATTGTTGTTTATTGTTGGTTTTTTATTTCTTTTAGTTTAAGTGAAGTAAAATAAGTGTATGTCTTTTTGCTTTATCCTGAAAAAATAAAACAAGGTCATGACCTAAATTGCTGAAAAGTATCATTACTTGATAACAATTTATACATATTTATATTTTGTTAATAATAAGCAAGTCATTAGGTACAATTTTGCAATATCATGGTCATGTTTAATTAAATCAAATCACAGAGGGCGCTGACTTTGTTTGGGTCTCAGAATGTCAGATATGTGAAGGCTGTGAGATTGTAAACCAATTTGTTTTTGTATAGTGCCACCAATGTTGTTTCTAGTGTCATAACTGTAGTAAATTGGCTATAAGACTTATTGCAACACTGATATGTAATTCATTTTTTATTTGGCATCAACAATTAAAAACAAAAACAAAAAACATGAGTTGCCTTTACTTGGATTTGAACTCAGGACCTCTTCCTAAACGAGCGTGTAACCCCTCGATCACGGGGAAGTTATAAGATAACAGCCTGAGGAAAACCATTATCATTCTAAATTAGGGTTTGTAACCCTTATTAATTGCGTTTGACAACTGATGTAAATAATCATTGGAGCTTTTTAATATTACATGTATATCTGTAAAGAATTACACAATATTTTGAAATCTTTTGACCAATCGGGAAACTACTTTTTTTCTTCTCCCGAGAAGGGCTTTGAAAATTAATGCGCCCGTCATTTGACAATTATAACACAGTGATCCCCCTTTTTTTTTCAGCGTTAGAGTACATATAAAGTTAAGTTACCGCTTCCAGGGTTTCAGACTACTTTCTTATTTTGCAAATAAGCATATCAGAGCCTGAAATTTCGCTACCATTATTTGTTTGGTCTTGACGACCCAAAACAAATAAAAATATAGTCGCCATTGCTTAAATTTTTAATGTTTAAAGGCATGAAGCTTTAAAAATAACTTTTAATAAATTCATGTAATTAGGTCAATTTTGGTTTGGTTTCATGGCTCATAAAACTGACATTATCATGTGGCGACTTTCGAGTTTTACAAGTGCCCCTTTGGGTATAAATAAAGGAACGAACGGGCACCTCAGTAAAACGACCGACATTCTGTACGGTAGTAAGAAAACTTTCTCACATTAAAAATCGAAACATCGAAGTCACTTGTGGTCTCGTACCTACTTCATGTAGTATACAAGTAAAATGGTTTCCTGCGGTGAACATTTTAATGATAATATAAAGATATTTCATTTAACTATTTTCATTTTTTTTTGGGGGGGGGGGATAAATAAACGTTTGTATCAAGAATATAAATTACAACTGAATAAACAATCAATATAGAAGAAGCAAAGTCTTTGGAAACTGATGTCCGTTGAAAGACCGGAGAAGGTCGAACATAAAACAATTATTTCTTTTTAAGAAAATGATTAAATAGGCCTACCGTTTTATGAATAATTATAATTCCGAGCAAAAAAATTAATAAAGTAAACACACAAGTTTACGCAGATATCTCTATTTATTATGGCAGATGCCACTACAAATATTTTAACTTTGTAGATTTTCAGTATAAACAATTTATTGTTTGTAAAATTTGAGATTGATATTAAAGAAACATTGATAATTTTCGAACACATCATTCAAGTTTTTCCACCTTAAACGGTAAAATGATTATAAAAAATTAGAAAAATCACGTAATAGTTTTTGTTCTTAATTAGGGGTAATTCGGACTAATTTCCCACAGGTAAATCCGTAACGTACCGGCAAACGGTATTTAGCTTAGGATTTTTGAAAAAGGTCAATTAACCAATCATGTACGGTTTACAAGATCACATGCTTCCTCCATGTAACCCCGAAAACAGGTCACATGCTCCTCCATGCCTCAAAAGTTAAACGCGTACCAATACCCTGCGGTCTCCAGACCGCAGGGAATAAAATCCGTAGCATTTGATTGACAAAATGGGTATTATTAATATCAATTTTTTTAACACAAACACGCAAGCACACATATCCATGAACTCAAGTGTTAAATGCATCTTGAAATGAAAGTCCAAGATAGGCATAATTTTACCAAATTTCCTAACATGTATATCCTTACATGTATATGTAACAAGGTAACCTTGTATAAACTACGTTACGATATATAACAGAATAGAAAAATACAGAATCCCTAAAGAAAGCCCAACACGACAAAATTGAAAATGTTGCAGGCTCGGTTTGATTGAGCCTGTTCATGAACAGGCCTTGTTCCCATATGGGTTCTTCAAATTATCAAATTATTAATTTTGATTGCACGTAAAACTGCGAAATAAATTTGTCCATATGTAAATAATTTAGATACATAAGCAGTTAGTTTGGGACTATTATTTCATGTCATTTGTTTGTTCGAATATATAAATGACTGTCTAAACGTAGTATGAATATATAAACAAACAAGAAGTTAGGAGTACGTCCTTGCAAGATGTTGTTTAAATAATCGAATTTGGAGAAAAAACGCTGGTTTTGATGTAAGTGGGTTTTTTTAAAACACGGAAAGTTTTAAGTTTTTTTCGGCCACATGATATTTGGTATGAATCATCTGCCAGGGTCCCAAACTAACTGCTTTAATGTATCTAAATTATCTACATATGGACAAATTTATTTCGCAGTTTTACGTGCAATCAAAATTAATAATTTGATAATTTGAAGAACCCATATGGGAACAAGGCCTGTTCATGAACAGGCTCAATCAAACCGAGCCTGCAACATTTTCAATTTTGTCGTGTTGGGCTTTCTTTAGGGATTCTGCATTTTTCTTTTCTGTTATATATCGTATGAAATCGAATTTTGAGCAACGAACTCTCAAAATGTTCTTTTATTTTTTTTTGAATAATCCTGTTAACATCAAACTGTAGGCATAATGATACTTTGCAAAACAGGTCCCAGGGTTCACGTTTAGATTAATAAAATGTATAACTATGAAAAAAATCACTCACAGTATAATTCAAATTAATTTTTTTATATTTATTTTATTTTAGAATTGTTTCAAAAGACAGAAATTTGTGTGTGTACCGTATCTTTTGAAATAACAGTGTGTTCCGTATCATTTCAACATCACTTAATGAAAATATGCTTAAACATCACTGCATTCACTCGATACATTGGACAGAGTAAATATATTAGATTTAACATGTATTTTTTCTATGAAATAGTGTCAAAAAACATATGACTTGCTAGAAATCGCCTGTTTATGCCAAAATGAGTGTGTACTGTTCCCCTCAGCCCAGGCTATGAAAAGAAAACTGTACTCGAATGTTCTCAAAAAACCATTCAGGGGTTTTCAGAATTTTGATATACCGTGGATAACTGATATAATTACGGGTACTCTGCGCCTTATCTCATTAAAATCGGTTGAGTAATAAATAAGTTATGAATAAAAAAACATACCTGAATCGGGTGAAAAATCGGCGTGTTCCCCGTACCCGAAAAGTCACGTGGTATGGCCACATTGTAACAGCTGATTCGAAAATTATGCAAGCTAAGTAGTTGGTCATTTTCAGAAAAATTGGTAATAACTAGTTAGCAATCCAGGTAAGTTGAAAGGTGAACACACCACAGAGAAATAAGCATGGGTTAAAATTGGCATAAAAACAGTCTCTAGACTCTTTAACAACTGAATGGAAATCATTCAAACTGTAAGCTTTACTGTCAAGACACCTTCATTATAAGGAGGAGATAAACTTTCTGTTGAGGTTACAAATGTAAAATACATTGTAACATATAAATGTTACATACATTCTAACATACAAATATTAAATACATTGTAATGTATAAATGTGACATACAGTAAAAACCCGCTTTACGACCACCCCGTTTTCGAGACCAACCCGCTAATACGAACGATTTTTTAAAGACCCGATTTTTTTATTCTTTATTTTAATGGTCGCTAACCCCGATTTTGAGACCACCCCGTTATTCCGTAATGCGACCAGTAAATTCAGTCCCATTCGTAAATTCTGTACATTTGGAAACCCATTAATACGACCGCGGGCACTTTCTCACCTTGATATTGACATGCATGTATATTGCTGCAATCTTTTTGACACGTGATGTAAACAACAGTTGTCCTAGTTTTACGACATTTAACGACATCAAATTTACGGCAGAGGTCAAGGTTACTTTGTATCAAATCCGGAAATGATCAATAATATTGTCGATAATTTCTTAATTTCACACCTTTAATGTCATAACTGGAGGATTAAAACAACAAAATATTGAACAGAAAATTTTCAATAAGTTTTTTAGAGGTGTTGCTGTTATTATTATCTCTTTCGTTCCATAATTTTAAACAAACATAAACATGATACGATTAGGTTTTTGAAGTTGTTATCGGCGATGAAAGCTGTGAAAATAATTAAAGGTTAATTGTTCGGTGTGCTTTGTAATAAAATGGTGATTTAATTGAGTAAGATGTGTCATTCTTTTAACAAGAATGTAAAAATATGTTTGTGTTTAAAGACATTCATAATACATTTTGTACGTCTAAAGAAGTTTAAAAATTTTATAATGTTAAAAAGTGAAATAAAATAAATGAAAATAAAAAAAATAATAGTGTATGCTTTATATCTTCTCATTTGAAATAGGTTAGCCCAGAAATAAACATGTGTACAGTTCATGGTATCCCTTAATATATTGCCTGGTTTTCTGTTTGACCAAACTCATTAATGAGACCAACCCGCTATTAAGACCAGCTTTGTAAAGTCCCTTCATTGGTCTCATTAGAGAGTTTTTACTGTACATTGTTATTTATAAATGTTACATACATTTCAACATATAAATGTTACATACATTGTAACATAAATGTTACGTACATTGTAAAGTATAAATGTTACATACATTGTAAAGTATAAATGTTACATACATTGTAACATATAAATGTTACATACATTGTAATGTATAAATGTTACATACATTGTAATGTATAAATGTTACATACATTGTAATGTTTAAATGTTACATACATTGTAACATAATAATGTTACATACATTGTAATGTATAAATGTTACATACATTGTTACATATATTGTTACACATTGTAACGTATAAATGTTACATACATTGCTACATATATATGTTACATACATTGTAACATATAAATGTTACATACATTGTTACATATATTGTTACACATTGCAAGGTATAAATGTTACATACATTGTTACACATTGTAACGTATAAATGTTACATACATTGTTACATATAAATGTTACATATGTTGTAATAATACATTGTAATTTATAACATTGTATAAATGTGTGTATAAATGTTACTTAGATTTGTTACATATATATAATTATGTTATAATATAAATATTATATCTTGGTAGCTAAGAAGAAAATCATTTTGATTTTTTTTTCAAATGTGAACTAAATCAATGAAATGTGTTATGTTTTTAGGTTTAAATTTCATATTTTGATATTTATGTGTTATAACAGCAGGAGAATGTAAGGCGAACCAGTATCATTGTCATAATGGTGACTGTATTGATGGAAGCTATGTCTGTGACGGATATAATGACTGTATTGATGCCTCGGATGAACTTAACTGTGGTAATGTATAATATATATGTATGACATGTGTCTATACCTGGTCTGTCTTAAAACCAATCTTATATCATTGTTTATATACATTGATTTATTTTATTCTTTTTAATCTCGACTATACAAGGTATATGGAGAGTTTCCAAATCACCCAGGTGTCCATGTCCTGATTTCCGATCAAAATTTTTGTGCAGTAAAATATTTTTACTAAAACTTTTTTGTTTCTTAAGTTATCAACTTCAAATATATGTTACTTATTATCAACAATATCTTATGTGACAAAGTTTATAACACTAGAAGCAATATTTAGATTTATCTCCCCTTTAACTTACAACTTTCTTCAAAGAATATTATTTTTTACTTTTACTTCTTTATTTTTAAAGGGATCAACTTCAAAATATATGTTCCTTATCATCAACCACATCATATGTGACAAGGTTATTAACTCAAGCACCAGTATTTCCAGAATTATCTCCCCATAAACTTAGTTTTTGTTAAAAAATGTTATTTTGAACTATTATTTCTTATGTCTTAAGGTATCTACTTCAAATATAATATGTTCCTTATCACCTACATGATGTGTGACAAGATTCGTAACTCTAGCAAAAATATTTTCAGAATTATCCTACCTTAAACTTTGAATTTATGTTATAAAATGTTATTGTTTACTATAACTTCTTCATTTCTTAAGTTATCTATTTCAAACTTCAAATATTTGTTACTTATTATCACCCACATCATGTGTAACAAGATTCATAACTCTAGCATGAATATTTCTAGAATTATTCGCCCATGAATTTTTTTAATGCTATTTCTTTTCTTTTTTTAAACTTTAAATTTACGTTTCATATCAATTCCCTTATAATATCAAAAAATAATAGGCTCATAACTTTAGCATCTTTAAATAATTATATGGCAAGGTTCATAACCCTAGCATTAATATTTTCCAAATTATCTTCCTGTTAAACTTAGAATTGTCCTTATTTTTTCTGTAACTTCTTTTTTACTTTAGGAACTTCAAAGACATGTTTGTTATCAAAACCTTTGTCATATGTGATAATTTTTTTACTCTAGCTCCTGTTTGTCCAGAATTATTTCCATTAAATTTTTTAATTTATTTGAAAATTGTTACATTTTTATTAGCTCACCTGTCACAAAGTGACAGGGTGAGCTTTTGTGATCGCTTTTCGTCCGGCGTCCGTCCGGCGTCCGTCCGTAAACTTTTACTTTAAATGACATCTCCTCATAAACCACTAAGCCAATTTTATCCAAACTTCACAGGAATGTTCCTTTGGTGGTCACCTTTAAAAATTAGGGATTCTGTATTTTCTATTCTGTTATATATCGTATGAAATCGAATTTTGAGCAACGAACTCTCAAAATGTTCTTTTATTTTTTTTTGAATAATCCTGTTAACATCAAACTGTAGGCATAATGATACTTTGCAAAACAGGTCCCAGGGTTCACGTTTAAATTAATAAAATGTATAACTATGAAAAAAATCACTCACAGTATAATTCAAATTAATTTTTTTATATATTTTATTTTAGAATTGTTTCAAAGACAGAAATTGTGTGTGTACCGTATCTTTTGAAATAACAGTGTGTTCCGTATCATTTCAACATCACTTAATGAAAATATGCTTAAACATCACTGCATTCACTCGATACATTGGACAGAGTAAATATATTAGATTTAACATGTATTTTTCTATGAAATAGTGTCAAAAAACATATGACTTGCTAGAAATCGCCTGTTATGCCAAATGAGTGTGTACTGTTCCCCTCAGCACAGGCTATGAAAAGAAAACTGTACTCGAATGTCCCAAAAACCATTCAGGGGTTTTCAGAATTTTGATATACCGTGGATAACTGATATAATTACGGGTACTCTGCGCCTTATCTCATTAAAATCGGTTGAGTAATAAATAAGTTATGAATAAAAAACATACCTGAATCGGGTGAAAAATCGGCGTGTTCCGTACCCGAAAAGTCACGTGGTATGGCCACATTGTAACAGCTGATTCGAAAATTATGCAAGCTAAGTAGTTGGTCATTTTCAGAAAAATTGGTAATAACTAGTTAGCAATCCAGGTAAGTTGAAAGGTGAACACACCACAGAGAAATAAGCATGGGTTAAAATTGGCATAAAAACAGTCTCTAGACTCTTTAACAACTGAATGGAAATCATTCAAACTGTAAGCTTTACTGTCAAGACACCTTCATTATAAGGAGGAGATAAACTTTCTGTTGAGGTTACAAATGTTAAATACATTGTAACATATAAATGTTACATACATTCTAACATACAAATATTAAATACATTGTAATGTATAAATGTGACATACATTGTTATTTATAAATGTTACATACATTTCAACATATAAATGTTACATACATTGTAACATAAATGTTACGTACATTGTAAAGTATAAATGTTACATACATTGTAACATATAAATGTTACATACATTGTAATGTATAAATGTTACATACATTGTAATGTATAAATGTTACATACATTGTAATGTTTAAATGTTACATACATTGTAACATAATAATGTTACATACATTGTAATGTATAAATGTTACATACATTGTTACATATATTGTTACACATTGTAACGTATAAATGTTACATACATTGCTACATATAAATGTTACATACATTGTAACATATAAATGTTACATACATTGTTAATTGTTACACATTGTAACAAATGAATGTTACATACATTGTTACATATAAATTTTACATACATTGTTACATATAAATGTTACATATGTTGTAATAATACATTGTAATTTATAACATTGTATGTATAAATGTTACTTAGATTTGTTACATATATATATGTTATAATATAAATATTATATCTTGGTAGCTAAGAAGAAAATCCTTCTGATTTGTTTTCAAATGTGAACTCTGCAATCAATAAAATGTGTTGTTTTTAGGAAGACGTTTTTTATCTTAAATTTCATATTTTGATATTTATGTGTTATAACAACAGGAGAATGTAAGGCGAACCAGTATCATTGTGATAATGGTGACTGTATTGATGGAAGCTATGTCTGTGACGGATATAACGATTGTATTGATGCCTCGGATGAACTTAACTGTGGTAATGTATAATATATATGTATGACATATGTCTATACCTGGTCTGTCTTAAAAGCAATCTTATATCATTGTTTATATACAGTGATTTGTTTTATTCATTTTAAGCTCGACTATACAAGGTATATGGAGAGTTTCCAACTCACCCAGGCGTCCATGTCCTGATTTCAGATCAAAATTTTTGTGCAGTAAAATATTTAAACTATAATTTTTTTTATTTCTTAAGTTATCAACTTCAAATAGATGTTCCTTATTATCAACAATATCTTATGTGACAAAAATTATAACACTAGAAGCAATATTTAGATTTATCTCCCCTTTAACTTACAACTTTCTTCAAAGAATATTATTTTTTACTTTTACTTCTTTATTTTTAAAGGGATCAACTTCAAAATATATGTTCCTTATCATCAACCACATCATATGTGATAAGGAAGGTTTTTAACTCAAGCACCAGTATTTCAAGAATTATCTCCCCATAAACTTAAAAAATGTTATTTTGAACTATTATTTCTTATGTCTTAAGGTATCTACTTCAAACTTCAAATATAATATGTTCCTTATCACCTACATTATGTGTGACAAGATTCGTAACTCTAGCAATAATATTTTTCAGAATTATCCTACCTTAAACTTTGAATTTATGTTATAAAATGTTATTGTTTACTATATATAGGAACTTAGTCATTTCTTAAAGTATCTGTTTCAAACTTCAAATATTTGTTACTTATTATCACTCACATCATGTGTAACAAGATTCATAACTCTAGCATGAATATTTCTAGAATTATTCCCCAATGAATTTTTTAATTGCTATCTCGTTTCTTTTTTCAAAGGATTTATTTTAAACGTTAAATATTAATTCCCTTATAATATCAAAAAATAATAGGCTCATAACTCTAGCATCTTTAAATAATTATATGGCAAGGTTCATAACTCTAGCATCAATATTTTCCAAATTATCTTCTTGTTAAACTTAGAATTGTCCTTATTTTTTCTGTAACTTTTTTTTTTTTACTTTAGGAACTTCAAAGACATGTCATGTTTGTTATCAAAACCTTTGCCATATGTGATAAAAATGTTTACTCTAGCTCCTGTTTGTCCAGAATTATTTCCATTTAATTTTTTAATTTATTTAAAAATTGTCACATTTTTATTAGCTCACCTGTCACAAAGTGACAGGGTGAGCTTTTGTGATCGCTTTTCGTCCGGCGTCCGTCCGGCGTCCGTCCGTAAACTTTTACTTTAAATGACATCTCCTCATAAACCACTAAGCCAATTTTATCCAAACTTCACAGGAATGTTCCTTTGGTGGTCACCTTTAAAAATTGTTCAAAGAATTTAATTCCATGCAGAACTCTAGTTGCCATGGCAACCGAAAGAAAAAACTTTAAATATCTTCTTTTAAAAAACCCAAAGAGCTAGAGCTTAGATATTTAGCATGAAACATCTTCTAGTGAGTGTCTAACAAGTTTGTTCAAATAAAAGCCCTGGGGTCAAAATTGGCCCAGCCCCAGGGGGTCATTGATTTTCCCTATATGCATATAGTAAAAACTTAAAAAATCTTCTTTTAAAGAACCCAAAGAGCTAGAGCTAAGATATTTAGCATGAAACATGTTCTAATGGGTGTCTACCAAGTTTGTTCAAATAAAAGCCCTGGGGTCAAAATTGCCCCCCCCCCCCCCCCGGGTCATTGATTTTCCTTATATGCATATAGTAAAAACTTAAAAAATCATCTTTTAAAGAACTAAAAGAGCTAGAGCTAAGATATTTGGCATGAAACATCTTCTAATGGGTGTCTACCAAGTTTTTTCAAATAAAAGCCCTGGGATCAAAATTGGCCCTGCCCCAGGGGGTCATTGATTTTCCTTATATGCATATAGTAAAAACTTAAAAAATCTTCTTTTAAAGAACTAAAAGAGCTAGAGCTAAGATATTTGGCATGAAACATCTTCTAATGGTCTACTAAGTTTGTTCAAATAAAAGCCCTAGGGTCAAAATTGGCCCCGCCCCAGGGGGTTATTTATTTTCTAGTAAGTGTCTACAAAGTTTGTTCAGGTCAAAACTGGCCCGCCCCAGGGGTGTCATTGTTTTTAACTATATGCATATAGTAAAAACTTAAAAAATCTTCTTTTAAAAAACCCAATGAGCTAGAGCTTAGATGTTTAGCATGAAACATCTTCTTATGGGTGTCTACCAAGTTTGTTGAAATAAAAGCCCTTGGGTTAAAATTAACTCTGCCGGGGGGGGAGAAGGTCATTGTTTTTCCTTATATGTGAATAGCAAAAACTTAACATCATGAAACATCTTCAAATGGGTGTCTAAATTCCAAGTTTGTTCAAATAAAATTAAAGGGCAATAACTCTGACAAAAATCATTGAACCTGAAATAGATGACAATATGCACAACTAGACTTGGTACTGATCATTACTGTAAAGTTTGGATGAAATTGCACTGGTAGTTTATGAGGAGTATTCCGGACAAGTTTTGTGATGGACAGACAGATGGACAGACTTGATAATGTAAAATTTTCTAAGTTAACAAAAAGGCAATTTTTTTTTAAACCTGTAACAGTTATAGGCCTTGAAGAAAGTCCTATTATGCTCTAAAAGAAGAGTTATAAAATATCAACTTGTTTCAAAGCCAGATGTCAATAGAATATGAAAATATCTGAGGTGGTATGCAAACTTAAATATAAATTCTAAGTGGAAAAAGGAGCATTATTCTGCCAAATGCTTTATACAGTTACCTCCTCCTGTATACAGGTTGGGGTCATGATGGTGAACAAGTGTGCAAAGTTTCAAAGCCATATGTCAATGGACTTTGAAAATATTTGAGGTATTACAAAAACTTTAACATAAGTGGTTACGCAGACGCCGATGCTCGGATGACTACAATAGCTAAAAATCAAAATCAAATTTATCTAATAAACTGACAGAATGGGGATCCTCTGCCAGTCTTGACAACATTAATTCTAAAATTGATTTTTTCAATTTTATATTTTCTATTTCTTTTTCAATTTTCACGGTTTCTTTTTCAATTTTCGCTGTTTCTTTTTCGATTTTCGCTGTTTCCTTTTCTAATTTATAAGTTTCCTTTATTATTCTTTCAGTGTCAAGTTTTTATTCTTTTGTTGTCGAGAGTTAAGTTGTCTTTTTCTAATTCCTTTTCTGACCTACGTCGTCTTTCTGTACTGCTGCCTGAAGAATGTCCTGAAATAAAGAACACTTTCACTTAACTCAACATTGTTTTGAGACTAATATTGTTTTGAGACTTAGAGTTTCAACCAGTTGTACATACTTCAAGTGATAGATGGACTGAAAGGTAATGCCATTTCAATGTCACTCTCAAGTGATTCTAAATGTTGGCGATAATACTACATTTTATTTACTTGCACTTGAAATACACTGCATTCAATAATAATCTAATTATAACTTTTTTATAACAAAGTAACCATCTTTACCATAGTTTGAAACTCTGAGCAGGGAAACATCATTCTTTGCCTTGCCATCTGAAAAATGATATGAACTCATGAAAACAAGTATAAAGGCATGCATTGATGAGTCATGCAAACACAAATTTGAATCAGTTTGATTCCTTTTCTGTACTTAAGATTTTGAAATTACATGCAGACAATAATTTAAATAACCAGAACAGCTAACAGAAATGTTATTTTGTAAAAGGTCATTTGGTTATTAAAATAAAAAACACACACATAACAAACTTAAACCTGATAAATGGTGTAGAAAACAGACAGAAGCAAAGTATTTTCTAATTATTCTATCAGTAAACTATTGATTTTCTTGATTTATATTTCTTCATCAGTGAGAATTATAAATCAATGTCCTGATAAATTTCCAATTACCTTGATCATGCTCATCTGGTAGTGGCTTACCAGTATCTGCCACTGGTATGCTGGCACACACAGCACCTAAATCAGAAACAATAAATAAACTTTCAGCATATATCAATAAAATATTAACTTAATTAAGAAATATGTTAATTATGAGTAACAGGCAAGTACTGAAAAAAGACTTTAAAGTTTAATTATATACATATAATAATAGCACATAACCCCAGTTTGATTTTCATCTAAAAATGTCCAAATTTCAAAGCTGTACATCAAAGGACAAGAAAGTAAGTCACTGTGTCCCCTTGGTTAAGGTCTACCAGACAATGCCTTATGTTAAATATCTGGGTCTTTATAAGATTTTTCTTATAATTACTTTTACCCAGGATTTTTTTGGCTTATTTCATAGCCAATTTTCGGTCATATTCCCAACTGAAAAAAGTATATTATTTTCACAATCCACAGCAAAACATTCCCAATTGAAAGTTACAAAATAAAAATGTTGAATAACATATTCTAAAATCTTTGACAAGGTTGCATTTGAGAAAAATGCTATGCCACCGCATTAATACAACACTAAATAGTAGTGTAGAAACAGGTTTCTTTTTGTTTCTATACAATTGAAGATTGTCATAATGCATAGATCCCTGACCTATCTAATTCTTATTATCAGATTAGTGGTTAAATCTATTGTTATCTCAATAAAAGATCAGAGTAGGAATATATCAATGCACTTGAGTCTAGTGAATTTGGTGGTGAAGGTCCTATTTCACACAGCCTAAATTTCATGACTGCATCAAAGGACAACATGTTGTCAAAATCTAGGTCAGCTGTTATCAAAGTTCACTTTTAATTTTGACACTAGAGGCAAAATTTGAACAACTTTGGTAAAGTACCTATAGATGATATCATTTAACAAATATTAAAGCTCTAAGCCTTGTACCTTCAGACAATAAGATTTATACTATATTTATATATTAAAAATCAATGACCCCGGGGCGGGGGCAATTTTGACCCCAGGGCTATTATTTGAACAATCTTGCTAGAGGTTCTTTTAACAATGTTTCATGCAAAATATCTAACCTGTGGCATTTGTCAATTGCTAGAAGAAATTTTTTTAAAGTTTTTACTATAAGTTTTTACTATGTAAATATGAGGAAAATCAATGGTCCCTGGGGCGGGGCCGACTTTGACCCCAGAGCTTTAATTTGAACAATCTGGGTAGAGGTCTACCAGACAATACCGAATGCAAAATATCTAAGCTCTAGGCCTTTTGGGTCTTTACAAGAAGGTATTTTAAATTTTAATATATGTACATATAGTGAAAAGCAATGACCCCCGGGGCGGGGCTGATTTTGACCCCATGGCTATAATTTGAACAATCTTGGTAACGGTCTACCAGATGATGCCTTATGCAAAATATCTAAGCTCTATGCCTTTTGGGTCTTTACAAGAAGGTATTTTAAGTTTTTACTATATGTACATATAGTGAAAATCAATGACCCCCGGGGCGGGGCCAATTTTGACCCAAGGGCTATAATTTAAACAATCTTGGTAGAGGTCTACCAGACAATGCATTATGCAAAATATATAAGCTCTAGGCCTTTTGGGTCTTTACAAGAAGATTTTTAAAATTTATTCTTATAATTCCTTTTGGTTGCCATGGCAACTGATTTCTGCATGGAATTAAATTCTTTGAACAACTTTGGAAGCCCTTCACCCAAGGATCAATCCTGCCAAGTTTGGTTGAAATTGGACTAGCGGTTTTTCACAAGAACATTTTTTAAGTTCACTATATAATCTTTATAACACACACACAAACAAACAAACAAACACACACACACACACAGGTGAATCGCTATATGCCACCGCATTGCAGATGCTGCAGTGGCATAGAAATAAGAAAAGTTTCACTGTTATGGTGCTTAAATGTTTGAAGATGCCCTTCTAGGCATTCATTTAATCACTTTAAAATTTAGGTCATACATTTTTTCTGAATTTTGAACAAAACGTCCTAAAAAATCCCAATTTGTTGGTTAGGGGTCATGTTCCAAAAATCCTGGGGAAAAAAACCTGAGTACACAGTACACTATTGATATATATAAATGAATGTCCTGATGAATTTCCAATGATAAATAACAAATTACCTAGGTCATGGTCATCTGGCAGTACTACCTTTCCAGCATTTGTCAATGCCTTGTTGGCACACACAGCCCCTAAATCAGAAACAATTTATAAACTTTCAGCACATATCAACTAAATATTAACTTAATCAACAAATATGTTAATTACAAGTAATTCTAACACAACCCGCAATTTTATTTATTTTTATTTTATTTTGTTTTATAAAATTATTTTTTTCTAAATAGTCAAATATTGAAATATGGCATTCTTCATTATTTGTAATGTTATAAGTATAATTTACAAGTTACTGGTGCTGATGTAGTTACATGTAAACATAGAAGAAGGGAATAATTGAATGATACACATGTACATGTATATAGTAATCAAAGATTTAAGATGCCAAAATTGTCCTCTATTTATGTACACTATTATAAATAACATCCTTCATTAAGCTGAATAGCAAATTGTTTAAAGGTAAAGTCAATAAATTTAGATTATTTTTTATAATAAATAAACCTTGATGGCTGTACTTATAGAACAGAAAATGATAATTTCATCTTAATGTGTTACAAAATTTTTGTACCTTCGGTGTCAAGGCTTGTGTTTAAGCCATGGACAGAGGCTTTTTTGGATGTTGCCTCTATCCATAGCTTCTCACTGGCAGTGAAAGCTGCAGTCTTTCCCCCACCAGTCTTCTTGTTGCTGTCCAGCTTTTCATTGGCTGTAATAGAAAATTTATACCTTCAATGTACCATTCCAAACAAATGTTTGCAAACAATTCATGAGTGTAGGAACCAAGTCTATGAATAACAGTTACCAAATCAAACAAGTTCCAAGTATTAACTATATATTTATTGTTTTGTATTCAATTGCCATAAATAAATCTTTATAAAACTTCATGAAGACTGTGCATGCCTCTAAAACTGAATTTATCTATAAGATTTTAAAACTTTCATTTGTTTGAAGCATATCATTCAGTTGAAAACAATGAATATTAAAAAATAAGGCTAGAGTTAGTAAATTAAAAAACTTCAGCTACACTATTAATATGCATCAGCTCACAATCTAGAAAAAAACAAAACATGTTTTTTACAGTACTAATGAAATATATATAATAATTTTACATATTGAGCAATGTCAAAGAAAATTCTAAAAAAAATGCTCACCTCTTTGCCTTATGTTGGTGATTTGTTTCCTTAGCTGGACAACATTGATGGGGGTATCAGATATACTGAAATATAAGACACTGGTGATAAACTTCACTTTGAATTTTACATGAATACTGAAAAATGCATTAGTACTGAATAATCATAACTGAACTCAGTTGAAGAAAGATAATTATTTTATAAGCTCCATCTTGAAGAACCCTTTAGCGTTTGGTGTTTTATAGTTAATCTCAAGTAAAATTCCAGGAATTAATCAGTACTGATGAACGTAGTTGTCCTTTAATACCCTTCAATACTGATCAGTGATTTTTCTCACTTAATTGGGAAGAGGCCTTTTATTGGAGTCATATAGGTAGGAAAATCACTGCTGATACATCATTCGTACTGATATATATCTTAATTGGACTTAACCTAAACCATTCAGTCAATGACAGCTCTACTTCTAAGTTTCATGGTATTATGAACTTCAAAAATCCAGAGGCAGTGCCTGGGATTTGAAACTCTGACCTGTAATACAAGGCACACACTCTTAACCATGTTGCTTAAGTCAACAGCAAGGTTTTTGGAAATGATTGATTTATTTGTAATTAGTCTAATTACTACAAGTTTCTCCAAATAATGCGTAAACCCATATGGGAAGAAGTCTTATATACATGTATATGATGCTACAGGTTTGTTATAGTTTATTCACTGCATAGTGTGAAGACCATTTGTTTATTGGCTCTTTAAAAACTTTAATGAATTAACCTTAAACATAATTTTTCTGATGTGACATTTATTTTTGCTAACTCTTTTTTTCCTTCTGTACCAGAAGTCCTCAAAATTAATGAGTTTATACGCTAATTTCAGTGTGTTATAACAATCTGGGGATTCCGCTACAAGTTTTTGAGCATTTAAAATGACATAACTTTGCCATGAAATAATATCTCGAACAAACTTCTTTTTTTATAAGACTGGGATATCTTTGGCCAAGTGGTTTACTTACTTTTTAGGCCATATGCCATGATGAACAGCTACATGAGTTAATTAGAGAGGAAATATTACTTGTGTGTATTTGTATATATAATTTTTTTTATATATATAATTATCTATTCGTTACTAAATTTAACTGTAAACATACATGCATTGGGCAAGATTAAACAGGAATAATAATATCTGTCATGTTTCGGTTCGGACTTGAATATCCGTCCCAAGGGTCCCGCCCATTGGGCAGTAACGAGGCTTGCTTGATATTCCGGTCCGAACCGCAATCATATGTCAGATATTTTTTCTTGCATATTCTGCCATATTATTTCATATTTGAAATGGTTTACCTCAATAAGATATATGTTAATGGAAATTAAAGTCATTTCCTCCGTAAATATTTTCTTACAATAGCGTATGAACTTACAACTTAAATAACAACGGCGAAATGACGTCATCGTAAGCATATATTTCCCTTCTAAAACGACGTCATTTTAAAGCGGTTCTTTAATGCGCTAAAATGACGTTGTTTGCTACGCGACTCATCTGTCACCCCCCATGCCAGATGAAAATTCCGGCATGGGTAAAACTCACGGAAACGCCAGTCTGCTATGCAAGAAAATGTGAAACTAAATACATTTAATGATTTTTCTCAAAGTCTTTGTATTCACTATTATACAGTTTTCTTCAGATTTCCAAAGTCCATCCATCCATCTTCCATTAATGTCAAACCCCTCGCAGGGACTTAGACTAGTCACTTCAGATAAAACTATGAGATACAAGGGAATTCTGGAACAGTCCCTAGCTCTTATTGAAAAGACTCTTGGTTCTTTTACATGCCCAGTGCCAGCCCAATGTATAGCACTGATACATGCGATGATTACCTGGATTTCTGACCAGTACACCTCTAGTTAGGTGAGAAACACTGAAAAATCACTAGAATGTTACCCAGCATCGAACCTGGGACCTCAAGATATCCTGTTCGTAATTACAATCAACAATTATCAAACTTTTAACAGTAAAAATGACTCAGCTTATGTCGGCTCCTTTGATTTCATCCCAAACTGTATATACTATCCAAATGACAGCTTCCAGCCAATCCACGATTGTTAACCTGACATTTATGTTCGAAAAAACTGCTGGTATTCTCTTTTGTTAGGTTTTATTTAAAAATATCCTTAAATTTTTGTCGAAATACTGTTATCGTTTTTTTTTCAATTGCAAATGTCGAACTTCCTGTTTATTAAGAAAAGGGGAAACAACTTCGCAACAAATTCCAATGTCGATAATGATCCAGAACTTTGTTAACTCGGTACAGTCCGGTTTTCATTTTTTCTTGTCAGATTTTATTAAACTTCAAGTTGCCTTATTCTTCGACTTCTCAGCACAGAAAGATAAAATATTTTTTGAAAGATGATAGACTAGATCTACTTACGCATTGACGGAGTCGGCAATACTTTGCCAAATCTCTTCTTTCTCTTTGAACGACACCCCTCCATCGCCGCAACCTTTAAATTTCCCCGTTAGAAAATCTTGCCGTTCAATATACTTCTCCATGGCCAGAAGTTTGGCTTTTTCTGGCCATGGAGCTCTCTTTGTCACTTTCGAGTCCATATTTTGGAAGCAGACGAATGACATTTTTACGGGAAAATTCTCGCGGAAAATGACGTTTCAATGCGCGATTCGACGGAAGTGTGAAGAAGGCCGCTCATGCATTGAGAAAATGAAAGTCTCAGCTGAGAAAAATCTCAACTGTTGAGAAAAAGTTTAGTGAAAGCCAACTTGAGAGTTTTCTCAAGTGAGATAAAATCTCAGTCAATATTGAGACAATCTCAAGTTGAGATTTATCTCAGTTTGAGAACGTTAGTGAAAGCCGGGCCAGCATCTTTATTTCAAGAATTATTTCCTCTTTGAACTTATAATTTTACTTTAAAAACTTTATATACTTTTTGCTCTTATCATTTTTTGCCACTGAAGGGATGGACCTTTCCGGTTTTTCGTAGCGGAACATTTAGCCACACCTTTTCCATTCATTGCTAGGTCAACTGCTCACAAACAGTATCACAAACATAAGCACGTGTTCTTTTGTGCAAACCAGGTCAACCAGTGACTATGTATTATCTCACTGTAGCGATTGGATAACAAGTTAGCCAATTTACATAAAACTGTAAACACCGGAAAGGTCCCTTGACTTCAGATTTCAAATAAGAGTATAGGAATGTCTGTTTAAATTTCATTGACACTGTGCAAAATATTGAACATTTGAGTGCTTTCTTGATGCTGATACATAAATATATTTATATCATAATTGATTTTTTTTTCTTCATAGTTTTTTCTTCCTTTACTGCATCCAGTATTTTATTAGTCAAGCGTTGCTGTTTCCTCTGATAGCTTTTGCGATTTTTTTAACTGTTATATTTATGACAGATTGCAACCGCTATAATATATACAGACTGTCTTCATTGCATGCTATGTGAATTATATTATATACAGGTTGTTGTTCTGACATCCCATGTGGCCATGTTATTTATATTACTAGCTGATGTCCTAGCATTTCATGGGACTATGATATTATATCCAAGCTGTTTTCCTGACAACCCATGCCAATACATTCTGTTGTCCTGAAATCCCATGTGACTATATTATATACAGGCTGTTGTCCTGAAATCCCATGTGACTAGTATATGATACACAGACTGTGGTTTTCCTGAAATTATATTATATTATATAAATAATACATGGGTTTGTGGGTAACAGTAAAAATATCATCCCGAGGAAAATACTGTATGCCTCGGGTAACGGTATTTTCACGAGGGATGATATTTTAACTGTTACACACAAACCCATGTGTTATTTATTTTATTACCCCGAACAAATTCTGTGATGATCTGAATTTGAAAACTAAATCTAACTGTAACAAAAATAAACCAAGAGTAGAAATAACTAAACTAAACTGTCCTTACCTTGCAAGTTTTAAGTGTACTGTGGGCCTGCTTGAGAAGCTGTCTTTCTTTTATTCTTTAAGCAAGTGATGATATCTACTAGTCATAAACATACAATAACCTGTGTTTTATGGCCATCGAGTGGTCGAGTTATACAAGTTCAGGAGTTTGCGTAGCTTGTAAAACAATGAATAAGTTAAGACAAGAGTTGTGTTGTAAATGGGCTTTTATTAAAGCCATAAACAAAATAAACTACAAACATGTAATATTGACTAAATTAAAGAAACATATTAATGTAAACAATTTGTTTTATCTGGGAAAAAATTAGAAATTCCGCATTCCGCATACAAACACAAAATAAAGCAACAGATATGTAAACAATTATACTTCTTACTGAGAATTTAGAAATTCTGATAACAACATGTAATGTTGACTAATTAAAGAATCATGAACTATAAAGTGTGATATTGACTAGCATAAAACATAATAAAATGGGAACAACAAGAAATTCCACCGAGGTGGTAAACAAAAGAACTACCAAGACTACAAACTATGTAATATTTACTAGTTTATGTAAAATTGACTAGATTAAAAGAAAACATGTAAATTATGGCCTAGTAATAAAAGTTATTATGCAGAAAACAGTATCACATAAATAAGTAGATGTTTTGCTTAAAAATGCTAATTGAAGACTTAATAATTATATACACATTAAAACTCAGAGCATAAGCTTTCCAAACCTACATTGTGTATACTGATAATAATAGTCAAATTCTTAGACCGTCAAAGCGGTGGAGGAAAGGGAGGTGGTGGAAAATCAATTTCTTTTGAAAAAATTGTAAATTTTTTCAGCGAGTCTAAAAAGTCATCCGCTTCGTTTCTTTGTTCAGCTAGAAAGAAAATGCGCATGTGCAACCTTCGTAATCATGATGACGTATTATATGGCTTACTGTAAACATTCTAAAATAGCAGAAAATGGTGAAGTAGTTGTCTCTCTTTGACAATTAACAGAAAACCATCTTGTCCATAAAACATTTTATACTAATAAAATACATTTATGGCCATCGAGTGGTCGAGTTATACAGGTTCAGGAGTTTGCGTAGCTTGTAAAACAATGAATAAGTTAAGACAAGAGTTGTGTTGTAAATGGGCTTTTATTAAAGCCATAAACAAAATAAACTACAAACATGTAATATTGACTAAATTAAAGAAACATATTAATGTAAACAATTTGTTTTATCTGGGAAAAAATTAGAAATTCCGCCATGAGCATGATGGCCAGATCCTGGGGTTCTGGTCTTCATGCACGCCCAGACAAGCAAACTCCTGATACTTTATCCAATTAAAAAGGGGGGTGGCCAAGCATATCACTAATATCATCTATGCTGCCTTAGTCAGTCACAGTGAAAGTGATGTTAACTACGCGAGATTGACAGTATTAGAATATAGAATAAAAGTATACATAGAATTTATGAAAATCAATCTCAAACCAGGATGACAATATGCAATTGTATCATAATGAACAACTGTATAATAATAAATGCAACACATATATACAAGGTACATGTAAAATAAGTCCACAATCAAAATATAAGAAGATATGTTAACTAAAAACAAATATATTGTTGGTTCAGTCAGTCAATGGGATGTAACACTAATATAATTATATTTACACCATATATTAATCAAAAACATTGCTGCCTCAGTCAGTCAATGAAATGTTACACTAATGTAATAATATTTACACTGTTATACAAAAATCAAATACATTGCCGCCTCAGTCAGTCAATGAAATGTTATACTAATGTAATAATATTTACACCGTTCTACAAAAATCAAATACATTGCTGCCTTAGTCCGTCAATGAAATGTAACACTAATGTAATAATTACACCTTTATACAAAAATCAAATAACATTGCTGCCTCAGTCAGTCAATGAAATGTTACACTAATGTAATAATATTTACACTGTTATACAAAAATCAAATACATTGCCGCCTCAGTCAGTCAATGAAATGTTATACTAATGTAATAATATTTTACCCTGTTATATAAAAATCAAATACATTGCTGCTTTAGTCAGTCAATGAAATGTAACACTAATGTAATAATATTTACACCATTATACTAAAATCAAATACATTGCCGCCTCGGTCAGTCAATGAAATGTAACACTAATGTAATAATATTTACACCGTTATACAAAAATCAAATACATTGCTGCCTTAGTCAGTCAATGAAATGTAACACTAATGTAATAATATTTACACCGTTATACAAAAATCAAATACATTGCTGCCTCAGTCCGTCAATGAAACGTAACACTAATGTAATAATATTTACACCGTTATACAAAAATCAAATACATTGCTGCCTTAGTCCGTCAATTAAGAAATAATATATCCCAAACTGTGATTTTATTGCTCAATAACATCACTGTTTGGAGTTCGGATACGGGGAATTATATCACGAGGGCGTAGCCCGAGTGATATAATGATGCGCATCCGAACGACAAACAGTGATGTTATCAAGCAATAAAATCACTGATTTGGATATATTATTTCGATTCTAACACGACATCAACAAATAAATGCTGAAGTACATGATAATAAGCTAAATTACGCCTGATTTGTTTCCGTACTTATTGTCAGCGCGTCACATTTTTAGTGGTTACGTCACGTGTATAATGATTACGTCACATGTCTAAATATAGAACGCCAAACAGTGATTTTATAGCATAATAACACACACTTTCGGTTCTTCTATGTTCAATAGGGAAAAATGCGGGTCGTGTTAGAATGAAACGTAACACTAATGTAATAATATTTACACCATTATACAAAAACCAAATACATTGCTGCCTTAGTCCGTCAATGAAACGTAACACTAATGTAATAATATTTACACCATTATACAAAAATCAAATACATTGCTGCCTTAGTCCGTCAATGAAACGTAACACTAATGTAATAATATTTACACTATTATACAAAAACCAAATACATTGCTGCCTTAGTCCGTTATACAAAAATCAAATACATTGCTGCCTTAGTCCGTCAATGAAACGTAACACTAATGTAATAATATTTACACCGTTATACAAAAATCAAATACATTGCTGCCTTAGTCCGTCAATGAAATGTAACACTAATGTAATAATATTTACACCGTTATACAAAAATCAAATACATTGCTGCCTTAGTCCGTCAATGGAATGTAACACTAATGTTATAATATTTACACCGTTATACAAAAATCAAAATACATTGCTGCCTTAGTCCGTCAATGAAATGTAACACTAATGTAATAATATTTACACCGTTATACAAAAATCAAATACATTGCTGCCTTAGTCCGTCAATGAAACGTAACACTAATGTAATAATATTTACACCGTTATACAAAAATCAAATACATTGCTGCCTCAGTCCGTCAATGAAACGTAACACTAATGTAATAATATTTACACCTGTTATATAAAAATCAAATACATTGCTGCCTCAGTCAGTCAATGAAAACGTAACACTAATGTAAAATAATATTTACACCGTTATACAAAAAATCAAATACATTGCTGCCTCAGTCAGTCAATGAAATGTAACACTAATGTAATAATATTTACACCATTATACAAAAATCAAATACATTGCTGCCTCAGTCAGTCAATGAAATGTAACACTAATGTAATAATTACACCGTTATACAAAAATCAAATACATTGCTGCCTCAGTCAGTCAATGAAATGTAACACTAATGTAATAATAACTACTTATATCTTGAATATCTTCACAAACAACGAAGGACAGTCCATTATGTTTGTTAGAATAGAAGAGAAGTTGGACGTAAATATGAATGAAAAGCATTAGAGCGCCATCTACCTAATTTACGTATTTGAGAGTCTGTGTAATTCCTTTTGTGGGCAAGTGTTG